TACGTTTATCCCTTACTTCTTTTCAATTATACATTATTCAATAAAGTAATATCATATGTAAATTCAAAATTTTTTTCTTATTTTTTAACTATACATTTTCCATCAATCTATTATTTTTGCCCAAGCCATTTTCTTGGCCACTGCCAAGAAAAAGGGGAAAAAAGAAACCGTGTTGAGATGTGACCAGACATTGTAGGAACTGTATGGTCCACCCATGTGAAATTCACTGAGTGTGCCACGTTAAAGTTCCCTTGAAACTACCCTATGCCCAATGTGATGCACGAGCTACAATATGTGACAAATTGCCCTTGTTTACATGTATGTTATATAAATAAATTAAAAAATCTAAAATTTACTCAAATTTGATAATGAATTCTTAAATGGGACATGAATAATGAATTTTCAACCTTTCGAATCTCGAAATTTCAACTTTAATTTCAAGAACTTGATGTTTTCAACCTTCAAACCTTCTATAGTATTTGTTAAATTCAAAACTACATTACCATGTGGATAACCTCTTTTAATAAATAAATAAATAAACAAAATCAAATTTTAGACATTCAAAAAATCACTTCAATCATTTTATGCTTTTGATAAAAGTATAAAATATCTCCTGAATAAATCTTATCTCAAGGTTTTTATAATGCTATTTTGATTTCTAGAGTAAGTATTATTTCATGTTCGACAATACATCATTTTCACTAGGGACAATTGCGACCAAGGTTCCAATTTTTTTATTTTACTGTAGACTTTACTAAAATCTTTAGTTTGTACCATCATTGTTCTAAACCTTTCATTTTGTTGCACCACAAGTACAAATGAATTGATTGGCCACTATTTGATTTCAAAAAATAATTTTGACCACATTGTTCACCATTTCAATAAGGTTAAAATGGTAACTCTGCATTTAATATATAAAATAAGTTATAAATTATATTAAAAACCAAAATAAAAAAATAAAAAATAAAACGAAAAACAAAAGGAATTAATTGTTAAAATGGTCATTAAACTTAGGTTCATGTCTTCGATTACTCACTGAAATTTAAAATGTTGACTTTTGGTCACTAAACTTTGAAAAATGTGTGCGTTACTCACTAGCATAACTGTTGA